ATACGATATAGATGGAGAGCAATGTTACTACAAAATATGTCAAAAGGCCTAGCACATGAGGTCATTGTTCACATGCTATCATCACAACCAAACAGTATAACTACAACAACTAAGTAGAAGGGTCTTGGCCAGCCGGGGCATCCTGCTCGGGTTGAGCGACCTCATTGGCTCCCTCGTGGGCAACCCCGGCCTTCTTCCTCATCATCCACGGCCTGGTCATCAGCACCCTCTTCGACCACTTCGTCACAATCGCTGAGCTCGAGCTTGTGCAACGTAGTCTCAAGTGCGGGCTCCCACCAAGGATGATCAATGGGAAAGACGAGCTATACTTCAAAGATGCTAAAAATAATAGATGAACATTCATTCCCAAGTGTGAAAGAAAAGACAAGCTATCCATACTTGGATAAAATTACATTATTACCCTCCTAACAATCTTATGTTCATTTCAGATTGCTGCATTTATTGCCGAGCCAGTTATGGGGGCAGGTGGCGTAATACCTCCGCCCGCAACATATTTTGAGAAAGTGAGTTTTCCCTTTTCCATGCTATTTATGTACCAAACTGTAAGGTGGAAAGTGTAATTTCTTCTAATTAAATATTTTCATCTTTTGATTGTCCACGCAGAAAACATTAAGAAGTTCACTTCTTTTATTTTTCCCTTTGAATCCACTCTGCAATTTTTAAAAGTGTTTGATGTGATTATTTTCGACGTATGTGCAGATTCAAGCTGTTGTTAAAAAGTATGATATCCTTTTCATTGTTGATGAGGTAATATGTGCCTTTGGGAGGCTCGGAACTATGTTCGGCTGTGACAAGTAGTATGGAATCATGCAAACCGGATCTTGTGACTGTAGCTAAGGTGCATTGTGAAAACTGAAAAGGCTAGTCAACTTTAAATTCCCGACTACTTTTCCTTGTTACGAATATTAGACAGGCACTATCTTGTGGATGCATGCCAATTGGAGCTGTTCATGTTAGTCCCCAAGTCTATGTTGTCATACATGATCAGAGCAACAAACGTTGTTTTCCATCTATATCGTATTTGAACTCTAGTTTTCACCGAGTACCAGTGGCCCGTCTTCATTTTGAACTCGCTTATTATTTGAACTTCTCATCTATTAGTTGCTATATGTACATCACTATACGAATATCAATCATTTAGTAGATGCCGAGCTGCTCAAGGGCTCATGTGCTCGGCCTTTTGAAGTATGTTGTGATATTCTTGTTCTTTTGATAATAGCTCGTTTTGAAAAATGATACTACGCACTAAAGCTATGTTTCATAATGTGTCAGGCATGTTGTTTACCAATGTGCAACTACTATTGTGTGGATGTTGATGAGCGTTGTTTACTAGTGTGAGAATGGACTGAACGGAATGTGAGTCCATCAAGCACTATCGAGCGAGTTTCCAGTTCAGGAAAATAAGATGAGATTATGACATAATAAAAGACAAGTTCTCCACACCAAGCATGGGTTGCAATAAAAATACAGCTTCGCTATTGGGCTTAACAGCTCAGATTAGGGATTGGTTCAGTAGCTCGGTTATTTAGCTAAGCAGCCCAGATGAGGGGTTTAATCTTACAGCTCGGCAATTGGGCTTAACATCTCGGATGGAAGGCTTGGTTTAACAGTTCGGTTATTTGGCCTAACGGCTCGGTTATTATGTTTAATAGTACGGGTAAAGAATTATGATGGACAGCTCGGTCATAGCACAAAGACGAGCTTTTCAACAAGCAGATGAAGTAGTACATGATAATAGATCGGTGAGCCGGAGGTGGCGTGGTCAGATTGGTGAGCCGGAGTTAATCGAGCTCGGCTTACGTAGCAAAAGATTGTCAATAGCTCGGCTAGGTGTGATTTGGTAGTTAATGGCGTTTTCATCTCCCAGGTTGATATACTCGTCACTATTAGCTAGAGTTCCTTTCACAATGATGATAAAAATTTATTTTATATTTATTTAATTTTGGTAAATATTTCCAGGTGAAACGGAGGAGGAGTTCTCTACCCGGTTGGCCAATAACTTGGAAAATCCCATCCTTAAAGAGTTCTCTAGCCTAGCAGCATTAGACGAGCAAAGATAATCAAGTAGAGCGAGCAGAGGTAGCCGAGCATAATCAGTTGAGCTATATTAACAAGATTTTTGCCCAAGTATGGTTGAAATATTCATATTGCCGAGCTATATTACAACTTCTTGGCCGAACCATAATTAAGGTTTTTGATTATCAAGCCCTCTTCCTGGTTTCTCACCCGAGCCGTCGATCCAAGAAACTCGAGTCACAGAGCCCCCCTTCGCGATTCCTCAGCCGAGCTATGTTGAATTGTAGACTTCTGACGAGGTTTCTCAGCTGAGCAGCTGACTGCGAAATCTGGATTGCTGAGCTCCGATTATAGTTTCTTGGCCGATTCGTAATTAACATATCCGAATCGTCGAGCTCTCTTCATGATTTTTAAGCCGAGCAAATTGCCTCTTCACGTCGACCGAGCAGCTCACCCACCTTATTAGCCCAGCAAATTGCTTCTTCATGCCGACACAGCTCACCTACCTTATTAGCCGAGAAAAGTGCCTCTTCAAACCGTCGACGCTCACCCACCTTATTAGCCGAGGAAATTGCTTCTTCACGCCGACCGAACAGCTCGCCCACCTTATTAGCCGAGAAAATTTCCTTGATAAATTACCGAGCAG